TAAGTTTTACCCTCAAAATACAAAAATACTAATTAAAAGGGATACATGTACCCTGACATTTAAAGCAGCATTTTCTACAATAGCCAAATTATGGAAATAGCCCAAGTGTCCATCAATTGATAAACAGATAAAGACCATATGGTATATGTACATACAGTGAAGTATTACTCAACCATAAACAAAGAATGAGATCTTGCCATTTGAACTGACATGGATGGAGCTAAAAAGTATTATGCTAGGCAAAATATGTTAGTTAGAGAAAAACAAAGAACATATGATACCACTCCTATGTGTAATTTAAGAAGCAAAATAAATGAACAAAGGGGGAAAAGAGAGAGGCAAACCAAGACACAGACTCTTTACAAAGAACAATCTGATGGTTAGGGGAGTGGGTGACGGGGGTTAGGGAGTGCACGTGTAATGAGCACCAGGTACTGTATGGAGGTCTGAATCACCACTATATTGTGCACCTGAAAATAATACTACACTATGTTGACTAACTGGAGTTCAAATAAAAACTTAAAAAATAAAATTGGGCAAAGGAATTGAACTTTTTTTTTTTTCAAAGAAGGCATACAAAAAGGCCAACAGGTACATGAAAAGGTGCTCAACATCACTAATTATCCAGGAAATGAAAATTAAAACTATGAGCTATGGCCATGTTAGAATGACCATTATCGAAAACAGAGGTAAATATTGGTGAGGATATAGAATGAAGGTAACCCTTGTGCACTACTGGTTGTAGTATGTAAATTGTAGTAGAAATGTAAATTGATATAGCACCTATGGAAAACAGTATGGAGATTGTTCAAAAACTTAAAAACAGAACTACCATGTGAGCCAGCAATCACATTTATAGGTATATATTCAAATAAGTAAAACAGTAAATGAAAATGACACTCCCATGTCATTATTTACAATAGCCAAGGTATGGAAACAACCTAAGTGTCTATCAAGAGATGAATGAATAAAGATGGAATATATAAATAAATAAAGAAGATGTGATAGGGGCTCAGTTGGTTAAGTGTTTGACTCTGGATTTTCGTTCAGGTCACAACCTCTCAGTCATGAAAGAGCCCCATGTTAAGCTCCACACTGGGCACGGAGCCTGGTTAAGATTCTCTCTCTCTGACTCTCTCTCTCTCTCTCTCTCTCCCCCTCTGCCCTTCCTCCACTTGCACGCATGGACACACACTCTCTCTCTCTAAAATGAAAATAAAAATATTTAAAAATAAAGATGTGATGCTTATATTTATTATATTACTTAGTCATTAGAAAGAAAGAAATCCTGTCATTTGCAACAACATAGATGGGCATTAAGGGCACTATGCTAAATGAAGTAAGTCAGACAGAGGAAGACAAAAAACATATAATACCACTTGTATGTGGAATCTAAAACAGTCAGGGACTAGAGGGTGAGAGAAATGGGGAGATTGTGGGCAAAGGGCACAAACTTCTAATTAGAAGATGTACTTGTTCTAAGGATCTATGCATAACACTGTAATGACAGCTAACAATAATGTAATAACTTAAAAGTTGTTGAGAGCAGGGGCGCCTGGGTGGCTCAGTCGGTTAAGCATCTGACTTTGGCTCAGGTGACGATCTCACAGTTTGTGGGTTCGAGCCCCGCATCGGGCTCTGTACTGACAGCTAGCTCAGAGCCTGGAGTCTGCTTCGGATTCTGTGTCTCCCTCTCTCTCTGACTTTCCCCTGCTCACGCTGTCTCTATCTCTCTCTCTCTCAAAAATAAATAAAGCACTTAAAAAAATTTTTAAAAAAAGTTGTTGAAAGTAGATCTTAAAACAGTTCTCTCCACAATAAGTGACAGGATAGAGGTATTAGCTAATGCTATGGCAGTAACTGTTTTGCAATATATAAGTGTATCAAATCAACATGTTGCATACCTTAAACTTATATAATGTTTTATGTCAATTATACCTCAAAAAAGCTAGAAAAAATAAAAAATCCTGGGGAAGGAAAGGGAAGGGAAGGAGGAAAGGAAGGAAGGAAATGGGTTCTTGGGAGAAATGGTTGATTTCAGGGCTAGGGCAGGGTATAGAAGCCAACATGTAAGTGTTCTCAATAGCTAACCTTGAGTAATTTGAGTAGTATTGGATTATAATCCAAAGAATGAAATAAATGTCCCTGAATCCACACTGATATACATGAATAACTAAAGGAATAAATAAATGAGGGAGGAACAACAGGTCTTGCTTACAGAAAAATTCCAATTATTACATGTAGAAGGAATGAAAGAAGTATAAAAACTGCATTAGAATGCCACAGTGATCATTGCTACAGGCAAGATACAGTGAAGAATTCTAAAATCAGTGATAAAAATTTTAAGCAGAAACAAGATGTCCGTATAGTTTACCAGTTTCTACACAAATATCTAGTATTTACAAAGGAAATACAGCAACTGTATAGTGGAGAACCTTGGTAGACATCATTTTAGCCAAATGATCAAGGTTAACATCACCAGTAATGCATATCAACTTAATGTGCTCCCTAATGAGATGCACTGAAAATGCATAACCTCAAACTATTCTTGAGACATCAGAGAAAATGAAATCAAATTTTCTCCAAAATAACTAATTCTCTTTAAAGTGTCAACGTCATAAAAAACAAGGACTGCCACAGATTGTTGAAAATAAAAGAGACATGACAACTAAAACGCAAGGTGGGATCTTGGGTTGGATCTGAAGCAAAAAACATTCATGTGTGGAAAAATCAAATGAAATCCAAATCAGTCTATATTTTAGTTACAATTTTATATGAAGGATAAATTTCTTAGTTTTGTAAAATGTTTTATGATTATGATGTTATTGTAAGATGTTAACTTAGGGGAACATTTGGTAAAGGACATAATGGTAACCTCGAAGATATTTCCCAATGATCTCTGTCTCCTGGTAATTCATACCCTTGTGTATCTCTAACTGTTGAGGGTGAGCTGAAAATACTGATTCACTTTCTATCAAACAGAATGTGGCAGAAATGGTAAGAATCACTTACAAGGTTAGGTTACAAAGACTTTGACTTTTATCCTGGGCATCCACTCTTGTTCTCTCCTGTGCTCACTCTGAGGGAAGTTTAGCTGTCATATTTGAGCTGCCTTATGAAAGGAGGGAGTGATGCCTCGGGCCAACAGCCATGTGAACAAGCCTGGAAGCACACCCTCTCAGTCTAGTCTTGAGATGGGACCACAGATGCAGGCAATACCTTGTTTGCAACCTCATAAGAGACCTAACTAAATTTCTGACCCACAGAAACCCATACTATCATTGGAGTAATACTTACTGTTTTAAGCTGCTACATTTCAGGGTAATGGGTTATACGGCAAAAAATAATTAATGCAAGAACTCTACCACTTTTGTAACTGTAAATTTTTTTAAAAAATCTCAAAATAAAAAGCTTTAAAAATACTTTAAACTACAAATACTCACACATTTTATTCATATATACACACACGTATACAAATGAGTAGGTACATGTATATATGTAGTTTGCATTATTATGAACTCTGGAGTCAGACAAACTTAGATTCAAATGCCATCGCTAACACTTATAATAGCTCTGTGATCTTGCGCAAAACATCTAACTTCTCAAAGTATTAGGTTTTTAAAATATATAAATTGAGGTAATAATATCTATCGCTGATGATTATATTGAGTATAAAATGATATCTACATCTCCTATGCCAGATGGCATTTAGAACATTCTGAACAAATGGATTATTTAGTTCACATTTATAATCATCTAGTATTTCCTCTCATTCCAGTAATTCAACTTTAATTCAGTACTATAATAATGAAAGCAGAGACTGATCCTTTTTTAAGGCCCAATCCAATTCTAAATCACCAACTTTTAGAGCTATAAGGGACCTTTTAGCTTTCCAAGCCTTTCCTTCCACCATCATCCCCATATGAGTGCCAAAGATAGTAAGTGACTTGGCCAAGAGGACAGGTTGACAGAAAGCTGAAAGCAGGACTCAAGATCGGGGAGACACCACCATGCAGTGAGCAAACTCCTGCTTTAATTAAAAAGACTACACTAGAATGCCCACTCTGTTGCTTAGAAAGAGCATTCTCTCACATAAATAAAAATACAAAATAGGAATATCAGCATCACTGTTTTCCAGAGGGTAAATAAAGATACCACTACTCCCCTCCTAGAGCTATCACAAGCATTAAATGAGATAACACATAAGTCCCTCACTGCCATGACTGCCGCATACAGATGCTGAATAAATATTATTTCCCTTCCTTCTTTCCAAGCCCAGGACTTTTCACTATGATATGCTGCCTTCTCAACTATAAGGTAGAACATGAAACACAAAGGATAATTCTATTCAAAATATAAAAGTGAATAAATGATAGTCTTGAAATTAGGCTGAATCATATAAATCTAAGGCATTTAGCTCTGAACTAGGTTTCCTTCCCTATAATACACTGTAGGACATCACAATAGAGAGCACATTATATTGATATGCATTACCAATGATGTTAGCCTTGATAACTTGGCTAAAGTGACGTCTGCCAGGATTCTCTACTGGAAAGTTACTTTTTCTCATTGTACATACTAAATATTTGAGGAGAATCATGAAATGAAAACTAAGAGAGAAGGGAGAGAGAAAGCACACGCAAACAAGCAAGCAAGCGAGTAAGCTCATGCACATATCCCAAAGCCTGGTCTTCAGCACACTTTCAATATAATAATTAGTAAATTGTACTATGGATGATCAAAGACTCTTCTCAGAGTAATTCAATGTTTTGAAATACTTGATGTCAAGTCTGGTCAAAAGCCCTTTCAAATTATACATACTTTACTTTCAAATGTTTTCTATTACTTAGGCATTTATGCCTTGCAAGACCTAGATTAGTCAGATGCAACCTCCCCTAAGAAAATCATACTGCCTTTCCCCCAAGAACTTACATTTGCTTAAGCATTTAAAACCCTTTATCACAAATTCCATCAGCTTGCTTGTCATCAATGAGACTCACCGATCTGCAGATACCGGAGTCCCTTCTGGACTGGAATATCCTTCCAAATCTGAAATGTTCACTTGTGTTTGCCTTGAGGTTACTATCTCGCTATTCTGAAAAGGTACGGTTTTCAAGTCCTGAGAAACAGTATTACTATCTGGAAGAGGAGATTGTACAACTTGAAAGTCCGGTGAAGATTTAAGTCCTAGAAAACCTAAAGATTCTTGATTCTGTGCTACAGGTTTACTGGTCAATAATTTGGAGGTTGGTTCCAATGATCCTGAAGATATAGTTTGTAGGTCAGAGTTAAACTCACTATTCGTCTTTGTTTTAGAAGCAGGATCCAATGAATGCAATCCTTTATCTATGGTTCCACTATCCAACTTGGAAGGAGTCTTGGGATAAAGAGTTATGCGAACACAAGAAAGTGCTTTTCTATTTGAGGGTGGAGTAGATGCAGATGTTACTAATGTACACTGACTTGGAACTTGTTGGGAGACCACAGAATCAAACTTGGTTTCAACATTTATCATATTAGAAATGTATGATTTAAACTTATGTTGATTATTCTTTTCTACTACATAATTCTGACCTTGAGGAAAGGGGGAATGGTATTTTCCCATGTGATCTACATCTGGGGCTTTGCTTTGTTCAAAGAGCTGGCGTTGTTCGAGAAAAATGGAAGAAGGAAGGTCTGAAGCTATACAATCCTGAACTTGAGGAAAGGGAGACTGGTTTTCTCTCATCTGATGATCTAAATGTGGGGCTTTGCTTTGTTCAAAGAGTTCTCGTTTTTCAAGAAAAATGCGACAAGGAAGGTTTGGAGCTACATAATCCTGATGTTGAGGAGGGGGAGAATGGTATTTTCTCACATGGTGATCTGCATGTGGGGCTTTGCTTTGTTCAAAGAGCTCTTTTTGTTCAAGAAAGATGTGCGAAGAAAGATCTGGAGTTACAGTTACAGTCTTCTCTTTTACTCCTAGTGTGGAACTTGGTCTGCTCACGCTAATGAGGGTATGGTTATCAGAAAAATGAACTTCCTTGACACTGCTATACTTTGCACTGGTACTGGGCTCAGAATCACTGCCTTTGATATCTGATCTTTCTAAGAGTTTTTCTTCTTGATGAGAATGTTCAATAGATAATTTTTTACTTTGGCTACTACTTTCTGCTAAAATAGTCACAGCATTATCTGGTGTATGACTAACAATTTTAAATGATGAAGGGGAAGAGGTTTTCTGTTCTAGATCTCTGGGAGGATTTTGCTCTTCAGTGAAATGAGAATTAAATACCCCCACAGATGCTCCAGTACACTGGCTACCTTCAGTAACACCAACCTTAAGAACAGAGGAATCTGAAAAGCATTTAGAGTGTCGGTGAGATGCAAAAGTGATGGAAGTAGTAAACTTTTTCATAGATTCTGGGGGCAGCATTTGTGATGAAGAATGACAATCCATTTCTTCGGGTGGCACATAAGCAGGTTCTACTAATTCTGATAGGCAAGGGTCTATCTTTTCACGGAATGGTATTCGAAGACCCTGGCTAATTCTGAAGTCATCAGCTGTAAAGTTTTGAAATGGGGAAGGACTTCGTAACTGCAAGGAATTCCAAACTTTGAAATGGGGGTTCCTCTGCTCTAATGATCTGGAAAGGTTGATGTGTCTGGTTCTCCATGATGATGGACTCCGTTGTCCTCTGATAATGTCTGAGGGATCAGTAGATCTGAAAACATAAGGGTGGCTATCCAACTGTGGTTGCTCAGCACTTAGCGTCCTGAAACATCCTTTTTCATGGCTTTCAATAATAATGTGACTACATACAGCTTCTGGGTTGCATCTTATTCCCCGTGGACTCTGTAAACCCTAGAAGATATAAACAAATTCTTACTTAACATAGTCCGAATACAGTTATATAAAAAACAGTTACATATCCAGGCTAAAACTAACCACAAAGGTCTTGTTGATCTTTTACAATAAAACAAGTAAGAATACAACAAAAAAAGACAGTTAACTATAGGATAAAATGGCTCATGGTAATTAGGACCACACAGTTGATTTCTTCTAAAAAATGTTTCACCAAAGTAACAAATGTAAAGACTACAATTGTCCCCCAGTATTCTCACCATTTTTCTTTTAGTAACAGAAGTCCCTTACCCTAATCATGTGCTGGTCACATAACCATAAAGCTGGAGACCTTTCCAGTTTCCTTTGTAGTTAGGTGAGACCATATTACTAGGTTGAGGCCAATGGGATATGAGCAAAAACAGTTAAGTATAATTTCTGCTTCCTGTCTTTAGAAAACCAAACTCTTGGTGGCCCGTGGGTGGCTCGGTCAGTTAAGCATCTGACTTTGGCTCAGATCTTGCAGTCTGTGAGTTTGAGCCCTGCGTTGGGCTCTGTGCTGACAGCTTTGGATTCTGTGTCTTCCTCTCTTTCTGCCCCTCCCCTGCTTGTACTCCTGTCTCTCTCTCTCTCTCTCAAAAATAAACATTAAAAAAAATAATAAAATAAAATTAAAAAAGAAAATTCTTGACGTCCATGTTCTCTCACTACCACCATCACTATTATCACCATTACTCTTGCCAGCTAAAAATGATAGTATCTAAAACAATCTCAGAAGCCATGTGTAAAAATGCCTCAGCTGCCAAGGCAGCCTGGGTCTTTGGGTAACTTCAAGGAGCAGAGCTCCCTTTCCTGCCCTAGACCAACATGTGAAAGAAAAATAAAATTCTACCTTATTTGACCATTGTATTTTTGGGTCTCTTCGTTACGGATGCTTGGCCTGACCCCTAGGATTTTACCGAAAAGAATAAGGAAAAGAACTAGTACTTCTTTCTAGGCTACAGGATCAGACATAAAGCTACCATAAATAGAAAATTTCTTTGAGATTTCTGTGTTTACTTATACAGTCATTATTTGAAATCCTATTTGATGATAACAGTCACATCTGACTTCAAAGAAAAATACCTTAAATTATGCTGCCACTTTTTTTTTTAAATGTTTATTTATTTTGAGAGAGAGGGAGTGAGAGACCGGGGAGAGGCAGAGATAAAGAATCCCAAGCAGGCTCCATGCTGAGCAGAGAGCCCGATGTGGGACTCAATCTTACCAACTGTGAGATCATGACCTGAGATGAAACCAAAAGTCAAACACTTAACAGACTAGGCCATCCAGGCACCTCTGCTGTCACTTTTGATGTAATGGAGTAATTGTACTTGTACTTTTTTTCCCTATTCCATAAGTATAAGTAAAACTAAAAGACCTAGACATTATATATAAAACAAACTTAAAATAATCTTAAAGATGTAGGGGCACCTGGGTGGGGTTCAGTCAGTTAAGCACTTGACTCTGGCTCAGGTCATGAGCTCACCATTTGTGGGTTTGAACCCAGCATCAGGCTCTGTGCTGACAGCTCTGGGCCTGGAACCTGCTTCAGATTCTGTGTTTCCCTCTCTCTCCTGCTTGTGCTCTGTCCCTCTCTCTTTCAAAAATAAACATTAAAATAAAAAGAAGAAGAATCTGAAAGATATAGAGAAGATAGGCTGGATAGAGATCTTGGGACCTAAGGAATAAAATGGTAATGAAATCCCTGGATTTTCTTTTTACCTCATATATTCCAGATTTGGGAGATAAAGAAGCCAGCAACACAGGAACAAAGGACATAGACAAAGGCTCTAATAAAAACCCACCCTCGCTTGCTAAAAAACCAGTAAAGGTTAAGTCTAGCAAGACAGAAAAAAACTTTTAGGCCATAACTGCTCTCTTCCAGCCAAACACCACAGAAAAAAGACGGCCTCTCCGACACCAGCAAAAGTCAAGTGAGAACCCTAAACCTCTACCCTTGCTAAGCAATTACAAGGCACCCCAGTATCCAAGCCAATGTATTAGAGATGACCAAGCAGGAGCCCAGGAATTATTTTTAACCCAATGGCCAGTTATGAGCTACCCCTTCCTGTGGTGTCAGTGGAGACCACACAGGAAGACTGTACTTTCCCATTCAGCAGCAATGACATGCCCTCTTTCTCCCAGCCATAGGCTGGAAGAAAATTTGACAAATCTCATATCCAATGAAAGACTTGTATCTAAAATGTATAAAGACATCTCAAACTTCAACAGCTTACCAAAAAACAAAAAAACCCCAAAAACAGACAACTCAATTAGAAAAATGGGCAAAACCCCAAACTTTTCAATGAATAGAAAAGAGATGGTAAATAGGGGCACAATAACATGTTCTAATAACATTCTACGTTATTAACGTTCTAATAACATTAAGAAAATGCAAATTAAAATTACAATGATTCTTCTGCATCTACTGAGATGATCATATGATTTTTATCCTTTTGCATGTTAATGTGACAAATCACAGTAACTGATTTGAAAATATTGAGCCACCCTCAAATGCCAGGAATAAATACCACTTGATCATAGTGAATTTCTTAAAATGTATTATTAGATTCAGTTTGCTGATATTTTGTTGAAGATTTCTGCATCTATATTAATCAGAGATACTGGCCTACAGTATTTCTTTTTCTATAATGTTCTTTAAACAATTTGGTATCAAAGTAATGGTAGCATGGTAGAATGAATCTGGAAGTTGCCTTCCACTTCTATTTTCTGGACAGTTTGAGAATAGATTGACTCTTTAAATGTTTAAATGTTTGGTAGAATTTTACCTGTGAAGCCATCTGGTTCTGGGCTTTTGTTTGTTGAGAGTTTATTACTGATTAGTTTCATTGCTACTAATTGGTCTCTTCAAGTTTTCTTCTTTTTCTTGGTTCAGCTTTGGAAGCAGATATATTTGGAAGCCATTTTGTCCAGGCTGTCCAATTTATTGGCATATAGTTTTTAATAATATTCTTGTAATCCTTTGTATTTCTGGGGTGTTGGTTGTTATTCTTCCTCCTTCATTTCTAATTTTATTTGAGTCCTCTCTCTTCTTGTTAGGTCTCACTAAAGGTTTATCACTTTTGTTAATCTTTTGACAGCTCCTGGTTTCACTGATCACTTCTATTTTTTTTTTTACTCCTTTTTAGAAAAAATTTCTTTTTAAATGTTTATTCATCTTTGAGAGAGGGAGAGACAAAGCAAAGTGGGGAAGGGGCAGAGAGAAGATCAGATGCAGAATGTGAAGCAGGCTGTCAGCACACAGCCTGATGCGAGGCTTGAACTCAAGAACCCTGAGATCACTACCCAAGCCAAAGTCAGATGCTTAACTGACTGAGCCACCCAGGTGCCCCACATTTACTCCTACTCTAATTGTTACTTCCTTCATTTCTCTGGCTCTGGATTTTGTTCTTCTTTTTCTAGATCTTTAGGTGTAAGGTTAAGTTACTTATTTGAGATTTCTCTTGCTTCTTCAAGTAGGCCTGTATTGTTATAATCTTCCCTCTGAGAATTATTTTTACTATATCTGAAAGATTTTGAAACACTGTGTCTTCATTTTCATTTGTCTCCATGTATTTCTTGATTTCTTTTTTGACTTCTTGGTTGATCCATTCATTGTTTACTAACATCATATTAACAAGAGAAACAGTGAAACCACTATGAGCACTTCAATAAACTCACAAAAAACATATGATAAAGTACAACATCCATTCATGATAAAAACTCTAAACAAAGTAGCTGTAGAGGGAACATACCTCAAGAAAAAAAAAGCTATATATGAAAAACCCACAGATATACCATCATAGTCAATGGTGAAAAATAGAGCTTCCTCCCTAAGGTCAGGAACAAGATAAAGATATCTACTCTCACCAGTTTAATTCAACCTAGTAAAGGAAGTCCTAGTCACAGTAAATCATACAAGAAAAATAAAAGGCTTCCAATTCATAAGGAAAAAGTAAAATTTCCACTATTTGTAGATAATGTAATATGCTAAAGACTCCACAAAAGAACTACTAGAACTGATAAATCAATTCAGTAAAGTCAAAGGACACAAAATTAATATACAGAAATCTGTTCCATATCTATATGCTAATAATGAAGTAACAGGAAGAGATATTAAGAATAATAATCCTGTTTATAACTGCACCAAAATTAATACAATTCTTAGGACTAACCTTAACCAAGGAGGTTTAATTAAGATCTGAATTCTTTTTTTTTTTTATATATATTTTTTGTCAAGTTAGCTAACATACAGTGTAGTCTGGGCTTCAGGAGTAGATTCTCATGATTTTTCACTTACATAGAACACCCAGTGCTCATCCCAACAAGTGATCTTCTCAATGGCCATCACCCATTTTCCCTATCCCCATCAACCCTCAGTTTGTTCTTTGTATTTAAGAGTCTCTTATGGTTTGCCTCTCTCTCTGTATCTTATTTTTCCTTCCCTTTCCCTATGATCATCTGTTAAGTTTCTCAAATTCCACTTATGAGAATAATATATCTTTCTCACTTATTTTGCTTAACATGATACCCTCCACTTCCATCCACACTGTTGCAATGTCAAGATTTCACTCTTTTTCATCACTGAGTAGTATTCCAGCGTGTGTGTTTGTGTGTGTGTGTGTGTGTGTGTGTGTACACACCACATCATCTTAATTCATTCGTTAATGGACATTTGGGCTTTTTCCATAATTTGACTATTGCTGATAGTGCTGATAGGGTCATGCTCTTTTGAATCAGCACTCCTTCATCCTTTGAGTAAATTCCAAGTAGTGCAATTGCTGGGTCATGGAGTATATTAGTAATTTTTTGAGGAACCTCAAAACTTCACACTGTCTTCATGAGTGGCAGCATCAGTTTGCATTCTCACCAACAGTGTAAAAAGTGTTCCCCTTTCTCCACATCCTCGCCAACATCTGTTGTTTCCTGCGTTGTTAATTTCAGCCATTCTGACTGGTGTGAGGTGGCATCTCAGTGTG